ACGCCATTCTCCTGCCTCAGCCTCCCGAGTAGCTGGGACTACAGGCGCCCGCTACCTCGCCCAGCTAGTTGTTTTTTTTTTTTTGTATTTTTTAGTGGAGACGGGGTTTCACCGTGTTAGCCAGGATGGTCTTGATCTTATGACCTCGTGATCCGCCCGCCTCGGCTTCCCAAAGTCCTGGGATTACAGGCGTGAGCCACCGCGCCCGGCCATGAGTGACTTTCTCAATGGAACATGTTGTTAGGCGACTCTAGGTCTTACTGAAGTGTTCTGTGTAAGTGGTTAAATCTTTCTGTGACCCTGCTTTGGCTGGGATAGGGCGTGCTTCACCTCATCACTAGCAGCTCGAGAGGAAGTCCAGACTTCCCACTTTGCCTAGAGGCCCCTGGTTACTGTGAGGCAGAGGTGGGAGTTCTGACTCCCCAGTAGTGTCCATGGTTTGTGCATGTTCTCACCCACTGTTTCAGAGCATGCATAACTGATGGACTGGGCAGTCAGGATTGCGACGGAATAAGCGGGAAGGTGTCAGGGAGAAGGGCACGGGGGTGCTCAAGGGCAGAGCTGCGCTCTTAGAGCTTTGGGGTTGTTTCTGAGCTCCGCAGCCAAGCAGAAGGGAGATGTATTATTTAAAAGTGGAAATACAGGGAGTCTTCAGGAAGGGCTTGGCCCTTGAAGTGCTGGGCCAGCCTCCTTGCCTGAAGGGTGGCTCGGTGGGGATGCCCAGAGAAGGGCAGGGGCACTGCTTTACCTGTCAGTCTTTCGCTTCTTCATCTTGAGCCCAGTGTGCAATTCAGTATTCTTCATGTATTTTTTTTATTTTTTTGTGCATTTTTTATCAAGAGGTTTATATATTATTAAATCATGTAAAAGCAGTATGTAGTTTTTGATAAAGCAACTGAATAACTCTTAAATGTGCTTAAAAATAAGATTGTGATATATATAAGATGATACAGATTAAATCAAGTCTGCTGAGTTATGCTGTGCTTTAACAAATGGCTATGTGAAATAATTTTAACATTTTTTCTGTAAAAATTAAATAAGCATATCCAAACATGGAATATCACATGATTTAATTATAAGCCAGCAGTAGAATTTAGTAAATTCAAGCAGAACACGTGTACTGTTATCATAATCATGTAGTTTTAAATAACTATTAGCTCTTAGCTGCAAAGCTCCAGGTCTCACATCCTACTGCTGGTGCTGGGCACAGTATGCGCCATCTTGTGCCTTTCTAGGGAGTGGTGAGATGTGTCTCTTTAATGCCTTCTGAGGTCCCTACCATCCCGTGGAGAGCATATCCAGGTAATGGGTTGCCGGAAAGGGGAGGCAGCCAGTAGGGGTGTTGCTATTACCTGTAAGGATCCAGGGCTGCCAAGCTGGTGGCTGCTGGTCTCCAGGCTAATAAGTAGCAGACAGGCAAGCACAGAAGAGCCCAGCTCTCACCCCGCCACTGGGAGCTGTGCTGTTATAGGGGATTGGTGGGAGGTAACTTACAATTCCCTATAATGATCTGTATTCTGAGGTAGATGTATGCTTAGTTGAAAGTCCAGAATCCTTTGAATTATTTTCACTCACGTGATCGCCTTCTAGCTACTACTTATAAAACACTTCTTAGTATGGAAATTTTCAAAGATACATAGAAGTAGAGAGAATAATGTAATGAAATATCGCTAGTTAGAATGTGTATTTTAACTGGTTACTTTGTCTTCTTCTAAAACATGTCCATAAATGTGTTTCATGAGTCATGCATGTTGGATAATTTTATCAAGACATCGCTTTTATTTTGAATTTGGTTTTGCAACATGAATATAATGGCTGTTTTTCTCTGTTTAGGAGATGTGCTGCTGAGAAATATTGACTAATATTGACTTCAGAGTTCTGTGTTAGTAACTTTTTTTTTCTTTTTTTTTGGGAGACAGTGTCTCACTCTGTCACCCAGGCTGGAGTGCAGCAACACAGTCTCAGCTCACTGCAACCTCTGCCTCCTGGGTTCAAGCAATTCTCGTGCCTCAGCCTTCTGAGTAGCTGGAATTCCCAGGCATGCACCACCACACCCGGCTAATTTTTGTATTTTTTTTGATAGAGAAGGGGTTTCGTGGCCACATTGGCCAGGATAGTCTCGAACTCCTGACCTCAAGTAATCCACCTGCCTTGGCCTCCCAAAGTGCTGGGATTCCAGGCGTGAGCCACGGCGCCCGGCCAACGTCTTTTGTATGATGTTTCCAGAGAGGCAGCGTGCCATGGTGGCTCAGAGTGGTCTCTGTCATGTGCTGCACTACTCTCTGTGGCCTCGGATAAGTTGCTTAACCACTTAGTGCCTCAGTTTCCTCATCCACAAAATGGATGGACAGCACTGCTTGACCGTGCTGGGTGTGAGGGTTGCCTGAACTCATATGTGTAAACTGGTTAAAACCATTGTTGCCACATGTCATGCCTTCCAGTACCACCTGTTGTCATCATCCATTTTCTCAACGTCACAACCAACGGTGGCCACATTGTCCACAGGGGAGATGTTTTCTTGTCTTGTTTTCTAGATGTGAATGAACTGAAGGAGTGTCTTTCTGTGCTGGTTAAAGAGCAGCAGGCCCTGGCCGTGCAGTCAGCCACCACCACCCTCTCAGCCCTGAGACTCAAGCAGAGGCTGCTGATCTTGGAGCGCTATTTCATTGCCTTGAATAGAACCGTTTTTCAGGAGAATGTCAAAGTTAAGTGGAAAAGCAGCAGCATTTCTCTGCCTCCTGTGGACAAAAAAAGGTAACAATAAAGCAAGAAAGAATCTTGATGCCAGCGAAATATAAAATTCAGACTGTTTTGTTCCAGAAAGTTTAAGGTTTTCAATATAGTGTCTGTCTTCAGCTTCTGAAATTTATTCTTTCCCTTTTCATATGTTTTGTATAATCTGGAGAATGGATTTGCCAATTTGCTCATGTAGTAACAGACCGTACTATGTAATCTGTGTCATTATTTTATTTTATTCAATTAAATTTTCGTTTTTGGAGAGACAACGTCTTGCTGTGTCACCCAGGCTGGGGTGCAGTGGTGTAATCACAGCTCATTGTAACCTTGAACTTCAGGGATCTAGTGATCCTCCCGCCTCGGCCACCTGAGTAGCTGCTACTACAGGCACATGCCACCATGCCTGGCTAAGTGAAAACAATTTGTGTGTGTGTGTGTTTGTGTGTGTGTGTGGAGATGGGGTCTTGCTCCTGGCCTCAGTCTTCCTGCTTCAACCTCTCAGAGTACTGGGATTACAGGCATGAGACACTGTGCCTGGCTCTGTGCCATTATTTTAAAGACATTTTTCTGTCTGTAACTGTGGAAGCCAGCCAAAGCTTTAGATCAGCTCAAGTATAAATTTGAGAATGAGTTCTGAACGTTGTATACTTTTTATTTTGTTTTGCTGCTGGGTAGGAGATGGTCAGATTGTAGTGTTTAGTGCCCAGCTAGTTTAGATGCTTCATGGTTTTCCTTCCTAATGTGATTTTCTTATGCTTTTATTACAAGAGTTGCTTTTGGGCCGGGCACGGTGGCTCACAGCTGTAATCCCAGCACTTTGGGAGGCCAAGGCGGGCGGATCACCTGAGGTTGGGAGTTCGAGATCTGACCAACATGGAGAAACCCTGTGTCTACTAAAAATAAAAAAATTAGCCGTGTTGTGGAGGCACATGCCTGTAGTCCCAGCTACTTGGGAGGCTGAGGCAGGAGAATCGCTTGGTCCCGAGAGGTGGAGGTTGCAGTGAGCGGAGATCACGCCACTGGACTCCAGCTTGGGCAACAAGAATGAAACCCTGTCTCAAAAAGAAAGAAAAAAAAGGTGCTTTTGGGCGTATGAGTTTTAATTTATTGATGCCTGTTAATATATCATAGATTTTCCCTATTTACTAACAGCCACTAGAAAGTTTAAGCTTATGTAAAATTGTACTTTTCCAAAATTAAGCTATCAGACCTTTGTCCTCAGAAGGTTAAACTACAGGATTGCCAGATGAAATTTTTATTTTGTGTAGTTGGGAGTGTTGGCTTTATTTGACTGTGATACGTGACTCCCTGGAGAGCATGTAGATGATACAGGAGGCAGAAAGAAACAAGAGCAAAACCCTGGTCGTCTTGCTCCCCAGAGACAGGAGTGATACTTGTAGCCTTCCTTGTTTTCTTATGTTTTAATTTTTTGTTTTGTTTTCCTTTTTTGTTTCCTTATGTTTAAATATAGTTGAAATCACATTACAGTTGCCTCTCTGTATCTGTGGGTTTCACAAACACACATTCAACCAACTGTGGATCTAAAATATTGGAAGAAAAGCAGTAAAAACCAAAACAACAATACAAAATAAAAATAAAAAACAATACAGTATGACAACGAATTACAGAGCATTTACCTTGTATTAGGTGTTATAGTAATCTAGAGATGGTTTTTCTTATTTGTTTGTTTTGACATGGAGTTCTCACTGTTGCCCAGGGCAGTGGGGCTATCATGGCTCCCTGCAGCCTTGATCTCCTGGGCTCAAGTGATTCTCACACCTCAGCCTCCCAAGTAGCTGGGACTACAGGCGTGTGTCACAATGCCTAGCTAATTTGTATTTTTTGTAGAGCCAGGGACTCACTATGTTGCCCAGGCTGGCCTCTAACTCCTGACCTCGAGGGATCTGCCTGCCTTGGCTTCCCAAAGTGCTGGGATTACAAGCCTGAGTCACCACGCCTGGCCGATTTTTTTGTTTGTTTGTTTAATTTGTATAGATGGGGTTTTGCCATGTTGCCCGGGCTGGTCTTGAACTCCTGGGCTCAGGCGACCCTCCCGCCTCGACCTCCCAGTGTTGGGAGTATAGGTGTGAGCCACTGTGCCTGGCCGAGATGATTTAAATGACACGGGAGGATGTGCACAGTTTATATGCAAATACCACACCATTTTATATCAGGGTCTTGAGCATCCTAGGGTTTTGTTATGGAGCCAGGGTGGGGCAGGCCTGGTCCCAATCCCTTGCAGATACCAAGGGACGACTGTACATGTTGTATTTTTGAAAATAGTTTTAGCGTAAATTAAACCAAGTGACAGATGAGATTCCTACCCATTTGGCAATAGGAGTGCCGTGGTTCTTTCCTTCTTTCCTGACCGGCTGTGATGGTCGTGAATCAGAGTGTCATGTATGGGTGGGCGGTAGGTGCTCAGATTCTCCAAGCACTGTTGTGTGTTTGTCGAATCAAACTGAATTCCCTCAGCTGCAGAAA